TACAATTTAGACAACTTTTAGAAGTGAGTTAGTTTAATATGAAATATTAATCTGAAAATTCATTTTTTAATTTTTTACCCACTACACGCTACCTCAAATTAATGACGGAAAAATTGTTGCTGTAGTACTACCTCTCGTTGTTTAATGATCAGAACATTGGTGCGTAAAGCCAAAGGTCCCGGGTTCGATACCCGGCGGGGGTGAGACAACAGCAACAATTTTATCCTCATGAATGTGAGGTAACGTGTAGTGGGTAAAAAATTCAAAAATAAATTTTCAGATATAATTTCATTCTAAAGTTTTGACGTACAAGAGTTCTCCTTTTTTTTTGAGGTAGGAAATCCCAATACATAATCGTTAGTCACTACGGTGTTTTACAATTTACATTGCGCAAAGTTGCCTAATCCCTATGATTTTTGTGCCATACTCCACTGTACTGTCCTGTTACGAGAAATAAGAATTGAATGTAGCCAAACGAACGTTCGGGATCGTACAAAAAGGAAAAGAGTCCGCCTGCTTTTCAGGGCCCTCCGAGAGGAGGACTTGCGCTACTTCTTTCTTCTATATTTAACTCTAAGGTTTCAGATGCCAATTACATGGCTGTAAGAGTCGCGTAATTGTCAGTTAGGTAAAGGAGCTTTTCAGAATTTTGTTAATACATGACCAAAACAGCGTAAGCTTGTAATTACCTGGGCCTGGACGGTAATTGTTGAATTCGAGGGCGCTCTTTGTTCCGGCAAAGTGTATCGAACAAATGTTAGTGTAAAAAGTTTTCTAAAGCACTTATGTAATTCGTACGAAGACACCTATATTATTATTTCTTCAAAAGTCAACGGCCACCACGTATTTTTCCACACACTGGTACCCACTAAATGGTGTGCTACCTACGCACGAGATTCTCAACTTCCTCATTTTTGACCAGAATCCCCTTTTAAAAAATCTATACAAAGTTGCTCATGTATCACATGAGTCAACGAGCCTTTGAAAAGACAAAACGAACGAAATCGTTACTTTTATTTCTTTGTAAAGCTAATACTTCCTTAAGTTCTACAGGGGGTAGTGGATTAAACAACTGGATGATTCCAAATTCAAATAGGAAATTGATTTCTAATCACATCTCCCATAAAAGTTACCAAATCGGACAAAACAATATGTTCAGTTTAGTACACAGTTAATCATTAACTGAATGTAAACAATAGGACGCAAAAGAATGGTCACGAAGACTAAAGATTAAAAACATTCGTCAAATGACTTAAAACAGTTAGATAAATGGTGTCAAGAATTTGCAACGTCACAATGTTTGTAGAGTTGGTCGTCAATAACCATCATATCAAGAAAACATTTGACGAAAAAAAAAAGGGTCAACCCAGTAGTTTTATTTAAATTTTTAAGATACTTCAGAATCCAACAGTTTCTAGATCGCTGAATTGAGAATTGACAGACACTTGCTGCAACCATTTCCACTGGTTGAACCAAAACTGGTGGATGATGATAATACCTATGGGTTAAGTGCTGTTTATATTCAAATAATTACCAATTACATATCAAGGAGGGCACTGTTTTTCGATCAATTTTGTGTCATTTAATAATAGTAGATATGACTAGAAACCATGAAATCGCACATATATTCTATCTAAAATCGTAGCTTCCTCCAGGAATCTGTAAGCCGACGTTAATGTTCATTGTTAATTACATTAATCGCAAAAATAAAATAATTTTTTTATGTATCCTTTGCAGATATATAGAAGTGAAATTGATATCCTTAATATTTGATTGATTTTAAATACTCAAAAACAAATACTTATATGAAGAAATCCATAAAGTGGAAACACCATCCAAAACATCTTTAGGATTAATGCTTTTGTCTGAAATTGCACTTTACTACCTGCAATATCCTTTTAATAAAAGCGAGACTCGAGTCTCCGTCTCTCATCGAGCCTCTCTGGTGTCGCTGAGAGAGACTGTCGAGAGACTCTCAAAAAAAACTATTTAGCGTCTCTTAACGAGAGACTCGAGTCGCTCATAGAGAGATCCTCATTTCGTATCCAGTCTCTGAACGAGAGACTCGAATCTCAGAATTAACAATTTTATCGTTCGAGTCTCTCATANGTCACTCCGACATAAAAATGTTCAGTCTTTCAGAGTCTCTGAATGCGAGACTCGAGTCTCCGTCTCTCATTGAGTCTCTCTGGTGTCGCTGAGAGAGACTGTCGAGAGACTGTCAAAAAAACTGTTTAGCGTCTCTGAACGAGAGACTCGAGTCGCTCATAGAGAGATCCCCATCTCTGAACGAGTGACTCGAATCTCTGAACGAGAATCTCTCAATAAGTGGTGTTTCGATAGACATGGTTAAAATTTTCCAAGTTCAACATATTTCAGAGATTCCAGTCTTTCTACGAGAGGCTCGAGTCTCTCAATTTTTCAGTTTTATTCATTCAGTCTCTCTGTGAGAGACTCGAATCTCTGAATTAATAATTTTATCGTTCGAGTCTCTTATAAAGAGACTGTGAGAGATCCATAAAAACACCTAGGCAATAACTGAGAGACTGTGAAAGACTCTAAGAGACTGAAAATTTTTGTCTAGGGACTATATTGGACATCAATACTGGAGCTTTTCTATACAAATGACGGCAATCATGACATGATTGTATAAAATAACTGAGAGACTGTGAAAGACTGTGGGAGACGCTGAAAGACTCTGAAAGACTCTAAGAGACTGAAAATTTTTGTCTAGGGATTTTATTGGACATCAATACTGGAGCTTTTCTATACAAATGACGGCAATCATGACATGATTGTATAAAATCTCCATTTCTTCATTTAGTGGTACATAAGTGGAGTAAATATTTCAGATATAATGCAACATTCCTTAGACTTAGACCATCAGTTGCGTTTAAGTCACCTTTATTTTCTACTTACAGAAATAATTATTGTAATAAGCTCAAAGGATTCAAAAATTAGAAGCGTTCGTGTAAGTACATAGTTCCCATGGCTAATTTTCAGAGAACCTGAGCAGAAAATTGTTAGAAATTGCTACAATCAAGCTTCCACAAGTCACGACCGTCCAATCAACGTTTTACTCGTTTGTCAAATGTGTAAAAGGGTATTTTTCCGTTTTAGTCTAGTAAATCACCAGGTAGCAATCCTACCGAATAGGTAGGTACTACTGCGTGAGTTCGACTACCAATTTTTGTCTAAATCATTCACGAGTGAATAAACACTTTCCAAAGGTAAATGGAAAGAATTATTAATGAAAAAACCCTACTGCGAGAATCTAATAAGTACTTTTATCGAGTTGAACCTCTTCAGAAAAGTAATTTTTATCAATTTATAAGTACAGTAGATAAATCGCTACTCAATGATAACAAGGACTTGTGAAGGAAAGAGAAGCGAAGAAAGAACAACAATTTAGAAAATCATACATGAGAGTGAAACAGATCATGATTAAATTTTCAATTTTCTCTGTTTTTGCCCATGTTGGTCTCCAAAAGTTAATTACAGTATTCAGTTATCCATTTCTTTTCTAAAAAGTAATTTCTTCATTTTATCTTCCACTTTTCTGCTATTAGCCCTCTTCCCTATTTACTTTTTCTTTTTCCTGTATTTAATTGTATCTTGTCTTTTATTAACTTAATTAATCAATTACATTTATATTGTGGTCTACAGTCATTCTAAATTATATAATTCACTTTTAATATTATATTATCTAAAGTGATTATATGTGAAATAAAACTAAAACAAGCGTACTGGTATGCAAGGGAAGAAAAAGTAGGGAAAGAGCGAATATAAAGATAGGAGACGAAAAATTAGAAGAAGCGGCTGATTTTAGGTATCTATAGGAAGTCAGATAAGTCAGGACGGAAAGAGTAGTAGGCATATAAAGCAGAGGATAGCGCAGGATCGTGTAGCCTTCAATAAAAAAAGGCACTTCTATGCTCGCGAAAAAATTAATTTAGAAATTCGGCAAAGGTTGTTAAAGGTGTATGTTTGGAGTGGACGCGGCGGGAAAGAAAAGGTTAGAAGCGTACGAAATGTGGTGTTACAGGCGAATGATGAGGATACCGTGGATAGAGAAGGTTAGAAACGAAGAGAGATTAGAAAGAATAGGAGAACAGAGGATTCTATAGAAGTCAATAAGAAATGGGCGAGATAAGTTGGTAGGACACCTTCTCAGGCATGAAGGTCTAGTCAGAGATATATTAGACGCAGAAACGGGAAGTCGCAAATTGTTAAGGATGTGGTTGTTCTTGTTTTAGGGAAATGCGAAGATTGAAAGAATTGATGTGGTAAAAAAATGTTGAGTCCATCTAATACATTGTAGAATGTATCTTCATGCTTAAATTTTACTCCCAACAATCCAAAACGGATTNTGAAAGATTATCTGTGGAATATTACTGCCTCAGCATTTGCCTAAGTGATCCAAGGAAACCACAGAAAAACTTGGACCAAGGCAGACGGACCCGGAATCGAACCGGCATCCTCCCGAATGCTAAGCAATGGTCTAGACCTCTAGGCCATGCCGCTCGGTTTACCATCAAATGTAACGTTATGTATACGGTGATCTATTGATTGCTTCTTCATTTTCAAAAATATACCTACCTGATCTGAAACTTCTTACGAAATAATGAGACCCAATCGAGATACTTCATTGTCTGAATTACATTAAAGCTGTGGACAAATGAACACTACCTTCAGTTCTTCCTTTAATCGTTATTACGTTAATCACATAGGTTTCATTGACTTCTTATTTTAATGAATATAACGTATTTTATGATTTTTATTTCGATAGAAATAACGTTAAACGTGTACCTACTTGACGCCATCTTACTTAACACAGTTATCCTTGATGATGTGAGCAATGAACTTTTTAATTTTCAAAGGACTATTTTGTGTTTGTTAAGGGACCACATCAGTCAATTCGAACAATTGGACAGGTTATGTGGACTGCCCACGAAGCTAGCAACAGCTTCGTCGAATGTCTGAGTGGTTTTGTCCTTTTTTCATAACGCCGGCACCCCTAAATCTAGGATGCAAAGGTCATGAGCCGTGGGTGTGTAACAGTTCACGTGCGGGTGCGAAAAACTGCGATGTAGATTTTGCAAAGAATTACTGGACAATGTCCGATCAAGGATTTCTCCCCAATATTTCTCGGAGAGTCCTTGAAAATCGCAACCCTCCTTGTGACGAATTATCACAGGACTATTGTTGCAACAACTGTGCTGAATACTCTTCTTCTTGCTCATGGTTCTGCAAAAAATCTGCAAACTATTTTTGAGAAATAATATTCTATAAGAGGACAAATACTAGTCATACCCGAGTAAAAAATAACTCCCTACAAATTCTTCGGAATTGATTGTTGAGCAACCAATAGAGGAAGGGGTTCCAGAAGGTGTGGCTCATGGATAACCAGGTGACTAAGAAGTCGAGGGTTGGGGGTGCTCTTGTGCCAGTGCAAGCCACCACAACCTCTTGGATTGTCCATGGTGTTACTAAAACTATAAACCCTAAAGATATCGCGGCCATTGTCCTTGACGTTGTAGCACTCAGGCCCTTCTCCTGATAAGGAGGTTGCTGTAGAAAGAAAAACAATTAATTTTAACAGCAACTTAACAATAAGTTCATGGCATCCATATTGTCAAATTATGTCGATACCTTTAATTACAAAAGGACTATTTTGATCTACAATTTCTGGAAAATCTGTAAAAGTAGCGTGGAGTAGTCGTTTTTGGGGTTATTTAATAGAAATCCTGCCATATACACTCTGTCTTTTATAAGGCTAGATTAAAATAAATTTATTTGGCGTAAAAGCATAAAAAGCTTTCCGTGAAAGCTTTTCCTAAACTAAAAGTCATATTTCACGGTGCACATATATATTTACGTATCTTACACATTACTTTCAAAGTATGAAAGAATCCTTCCAAGAAAATTGAATTGATTCGACATCGTGTTATAAAAAGTTCTGCACCAAGAATCAAACACAAAGAATAAACTCTTAAGAAACATCATCTAATGTAGAAACTTATCGATATCTACTTGCATATTCGTGTATTAATAATACTTCTTGAAAAATATACCTAATAATAAAATAGTTCGTGCTAGTTTTGTAACAGTTCTGAACACGTAGAAACAAATAGACTTTATAGCTTAGTATCCCATTCATCTNACACCTTCTCAAGCATGAAGGTCTAGTCAGAGACATATTACAGGCAGAAACAGGAGTTAGGAGGAGTAGAGGTAGACCTAGATTAGATTTCTGTTCGCAAATAGTTAAGGATGTGGGCTGTTCTAGTTTTAGGGAAATGCGAAGTTTAGCTTAGGATAGGAAAGAGTGGAGGTGTGTGTCCAACCAACCTTAGGACTGACGACCTTAGGATGAATAATAATAATCATAATAATAATAATTGAACTGTACCGTGATACACATTAGCCATTTTATGAGTGACGGTGTCCTATGATGATACATGATGTGTCTACCTTTTACACGTTATGTTACACAGTTGAAAATCGAATGGAGTCACGATACGTTTTTGTATAATAACATGGAAAAGGCGGCCATATAATGATGATTGCCTGGCATATTAGGGTAATAGCGGCGGCAATTATGAATAAAAACGCCGAGAATTAATATGCAAGGCTTAAATCTTTTCGCTGCCAGCTTACTACGACTGCAATGGCTATACTGGATAATATTTACCCCGCTCGTTTGCATATTATCAGATAAGCGGAACGTTGCAATGTTCTGATAAATCAACCCATAAATATGCCAATTACTTTTTTAACCTGATAACATGAAAGTTTTAGTATCTAACAACCCGCTCAATGCGTAACCTAAACCATTTGCACTTACGTAATAAGTACTTACTTAATACACTAGACATGTAAATGGCTGTTTTCATTCAAATATTGCCTGTATTAAGTACATAAAAGCGGGAGGATAAGCACACTAAATAACTAATGTAATGTAGAATCAACTTGCCAAAACGCGACCTCCGGTGAACAGAGGAAAGTAGTTTAATTTTGGATAGTTGCCTAATAACAGTCTTATCTTAAAACCCGTTAAATAATTTTTTGTAAATTAACCCATAAAACGAAAGGTCTCTTACATAAAATTATGCATCTTTTGTGAGACAATTTCTTTTAGCATTACTCAATAAAGCAGAGGATAGCGCAGGGTTGGGTCGCCTTCAATAAAAAGAAGTCACTTCTATGCTCGCGAACGGTTAATTTAGAAATTCGAAAAAGGTTGTTAAAGGTGAATTTTTGTAACGCGGCGTTGTACGGGTTCGAAACATGGACAGTGGGCGCGGCGGAAAAGAATAGGTTAGAAGCCTTCGAAATGTGGTGTTATAGCCAAATGATGGAGATAACGTGGGTAGAAAAGGTTAGAAAGGAAGAGGAAATAAGAAATAGGCGAGATAGGTTGGTAGGACACCTTCTTAGGCATGAAGGTCTAGTCAGAGACATATTAGTGGCAGAAACAGGAGTTCGGAGGGGTAGAGGTAGACCTAGGTTAGATTACTCTTCGCAAATAGTTAAGGATGTGGGCTGTTCTAGTTTTAGGGAAATGCGAAGTTTAGCTCAGGATAGGAATGAGTGGAGGTACGTGTCCAACCAGTCTTAGGACTGACGACCTTATGATGATGATTATGCAACCAATTGTACACCCGTAGACATTTGGACCCGTCTATTTTGTTGTAATTGTTTTCTACTTCATCGAAAATGTGAAAATTAGTGATTCTTAGTGAAAATTCCTAATTAAACGAAAACATTCTGGATATCGAATGTAGGCTTATGACACAATTCGATATTTTTATTGGTTCCTAAATACATTAATTTGATCTATTTATACAGTTTGATTCAACATATGTTGAAGTGATAATTCAAAATTAGGACTTATTCTGACTGTATCCGAATTGCTTAGCTATAAGCTGGACTGAAACTGGGTGAAAGTAACAAATAACGTATTTTTCTTTTCTTTTTTGTTCTCTTATAAATAAAGTTGAAAAGTTAATTTTTCAAATGCCATTAAGTTTACCTGAACATTTAATAGTAAAAATGGTAAAAGATGAGTGTTAAAAAAATGAAATGTTAAATGTTTCTTTAAAAAAAAAGATTATTTAAATTTCAGTCCCGTTATAACAGGCCTTAAGGTTTTAACTGACTGCTGCATAAAAGCTAATGAAATTTTGCAAGACATAAACATTTAAATCAATCGCCTTTATAGCATTTCACATATTTTTTGTCTTGTTTCTATAATTATTAATGGAAAAATGATGTTTTTGGTCACAGCCAACAAAGAGACAAACAAAAGATTATGGTCAAATGAAGTTTTATCCAAATTCTTTTCGCGTTTTTATTTCAGTTTATTTTATTCCTGAAAATGTGCTTTCGGATTTCATCCAAATAGAATAACATTATTAAGAATTTATTAAAATTCATGGTGTTCTATTTATTAATGTGTATATTAGGTACATCTTCTGGGTCGATAAACAATTCCGATTTGATATGAAGATTATTTTCATGCAGCAAACTTAAACCTTCGAGCAACTAGCAGAAGTAATTATACAGTAACAGTAATTAACTCGATTCCACGGACTAGCTGCATTCGTAATTGGATTTGCTCCGGGTCGAACAGTATTTACCCTGGGCGCAGGGACCGGCGCGTAAGGAGGGTGTGCGGGGGCAGTACGGTGGTGCTTAGAAAATTTACATACAATATGAAAAACTTGTATCCGCAATCAAGTCGGTGGTAACGCGGGTGACGTTAAAAAGGCATAAATATGCAAAAGAGGCAGATAGGTATATTAAGCTTATCGCTCTCCAGGTTGCCTACCTGGCCAGGTAGGTACGAGCACGCACGCCATTTTAGCCCCAATTTATATTATATGCAAATGGCGTCTTATCGCCCAGTTTATTCAAATTACGTAACTCGGCCCCGGCACAAAGGTGTACGTGCTGTTATGATGTATTAGGCGGCCATGCTCTGCCTGCTAACATGCCAACTTTCCAGCGACATATTCAAATGCTTAGACGTATAATAAATGGCCGTTAATCATGTCTTTATAACGTTTTCGTGTAAGTACACGCTCCAAAGATGACTTTCAAAACGACCAGGATTATTAGCTAATTTCTGCCGCAAACACCGACTACTTAGGAACTTTTTCAACCTACAACTTATAACTATGTATCCAATCTTTTTTGTAACATGTGATACAACTGTGGAGTATTGGGATCCGTCAAATGGGCATATCTACACCATCTGGTGCCAAATTTATAACTCGAATGAGGGAAAAATTTACATAGGAACTGTGCAAGCAAAGTGTAAAATTGTTTATTAAAATAATAAAACACGTTAAAAAAGTAAAAACTTTTTTGATGATGGAGTCGACGAAGTTTTCTTTTGAAGTTAAATCAAATAAAAAGTTAATATGTTCAGTGAAAAGCTGCAATAGCACTTCAGACATAGATCTTCACTCTTCACCTACATTAACTACTTTCCAATAAAAACTAACCGTTTTATATATGTAAAAAATATATTCGGAAAATTAGAGAAAAAAGTAAACTAATAGAAGCTTGGATGAAAGCAGTAGGTATCAAAGAAGTGAATTCCGGAATAAGAATTTGTTCACGTCATTTTAATGCACATGATTATATTTCAGCAAGTATTTACCATCAGCCATAACCTTAATATTTAAAACTAGAATCATACTAAAATTATAAAGTGAGAAATTATTTATTCCTGTGTAATTGATTTAACACAATTCTAATGATACGATATAAGTATTTTGAGGTTAAGAACCTACCTGCTGCAATACAACAAAGTTGCAATAATGTGTTTGCAACGTTCTCTTAAATCGGCTTTGCACGTGCAAGTCATTGATATGATATTGCTTAAATCACCCAGAATCACCTCACCAATTATATAACGTGAATCACTTTTTAAATCCGAAGTTTGTAAAAAGTAGGCAGTAAACTTGACGGAATTTGAAGGCTAGCTTCCGGATTTGTTATTTCCGAATTTTATAATGTGATTGGCATTAAAAACACGCTCACCTTCAACGAAATTTCCTTTCCGAGGCTTTGTGTCAGCCCAATCACATATTGTGTCAATACTTATCATTTTATCGTAATTTAAAAACTTGGAAATGCACGGTACACTATAGGAACTACGATAAATTTTCCCTAATCGGTGCCATGCTTTTAGGCTCCTCTCATTTGACGGATCCCAATAGCGAATATCTGATTTTTTTATATCTGCAATGTTAAGCCGATAAGAATATAACTGTTGGTCAATTCTCAGATCGAAAGCGAAATATTATTCTAAAACTGAAATCACTAATATTTGTAGCCAATACCTAAATACAAATACAAATAGACGTACGTATGTATCTGTATGTTTCACAATGCAGAACGATCGTGTTTGTACATGATTATGGTTTTGAGTTTCCTTGTGGGGGTTGCATATCGGTAGCTACGGTGGTAGCAGATATGGTGGTCATAAAATATCTTTATATTTCGATCAA